TTTTGGCACATCCAACAACAGAATAAATCCCACTAATTAAAATGTATTTGAGCTAATTAGTAGGATCAGAGTTGAATTAGGAACACTTTTAATAGCTTGGAGAGGAAAGATAATAAGAGAAGTGCCAATTTTTCAAAATGTTTAGGAAAGGAGCAGGGGGATGGGGAAATGTGAGAGAGGCCTCTCGCTAAGCAGATCAGGGAATTCGGTCAAACTCGTGGTTATTTGGGTCCAATTAGGCCTGACACAGCCCAAACCCCCGGCTTGTTGAAGTGAGGAATGAAAGTCCCCAGCCCTTGGCAGGCCAGGCTCTGCACGCATCCATGCATAGTTTCCACTGAAGGACTGCAGCCAAGTGAGGCGTGGAGTCTGGATGTGGGGAGTACAAATGGGAAACTGGAATTTAAGGGGGAAAGGCACACTTCWGAGCTTCAGCTCATTAGAGAAAAACAGACACGAGCTTCCCTGCCTCGCACTCCAGTTTTCCTCGCTTTCTGATTCTGTTGCTATGGCATTCATAAAATTCCAGCATTTCAATGCAGCAGAGTGGAAATCTGGCACATAACTGCAGRTTAATCAGTTATTTGAAACTAAATCAGGTTCAGCATTTCTAAAATCACCCCAATTACAGAATCACAAGACCAGTTATGTTGGAAAGTATCTCTAAGATCGAGTCCAATGTTTGACCAATCTCCACTTTGTCAACTAGAACTGAGGTGAGCCATGCAGCCAAGGCAAGCCATTCCCTGGGGCTCGGGTATGTCACCTGAGAGTCAGATTTGAACATCTCAGCCTCTGTTCACAGCAGCTGCCCTGGCTGTAGAGTCAGAGGGGCCTGTGGAGCACCACAGGGCTGAAGAGTCACAGCCTGAGAGGGGCTGAGAACAGGTGAGTGGACTCTCCTACTCCCACTGCAAAGGGTGGCAGTGGTGTATCACACCCAGAAATTATTATATATCAAAAAGGAAACAAATGGAAAACTTTGGGTTTGGTTTGTTGTTTTTTTTTTTTTATTTTTGTATGAGCAGAATGTTCATTCCCTAAGAAAAAAAAAATAAAAACCCCAGCAGAAACCAAACTTGGAGAATAAGCAGCAGCTCTTGGGAGACCTAACCCCTGTCCCTCCTGTYACTTGCTCAGGCATCTCTGTGCCCAGCAGACAAAGGGGGAACAAAGAAAGAGCAGATCCAGCAATCCATCCTTGAGCTGCACAGRCTGTGCAGGCTCCCAGCTTGCTTGAGTTTCTAATGGCAACAGCAAAAAGTCTTCAGCTATGGTAAGCAGTGCCTCCATCCTTTTGTTAGGAGATGTTTGAAATCCTGCAAACTCTTTAAATAGCAACATCYTATGAACTACAGTCACCAGGTTAAAGAGTTTTTATCTACATTTTYTAGGACTTTCCCTTAACTGTTCTCCTATGGAAAGAATGGTCTTTGAATTACTGAAAGGAAATTCACAGCCAGAATCTCTAAATGGAATTGCAAAACTGAAAAAAAGAACGTATATGACTAAACTGGAGGTGAAGGGATACACTTCCCAATTTCACGACTCTCCCTTAATATTCAGATTAATTTCATATTCACTGAACAAAAATTAGACATAGGTGTAACTTTTGGAAAGTCTGATAACTTTTGACAGAAATTACCCACTTTAATGTTAGACTGACCTAATCCTACTGGACCTGATTATCAACCTTGACTCCTGTGGGAGTTTTACTGGTGAAAGTACTGGGAGATATAAACTCTGTCAAAAATTTAAAGGAAAAACACAGAAGGACATATAATTCAAGCAAGGCAGGAAATRTTTTTCACATCAAAATATGAAATACACACACAAAGAATTTTGTTAACGTATTGAAATCTCAAATACTTTTTGTTGGAAAATTCCCAACCAACTCTAAAAATGGAGTTGCCAGCTACCTTCCTTCTCTCATAGAGGAGACAATCTCTGCACCCACCTCTGAGGCAGTAGAGACATGATCAGGAAATAGTGCTGGTAAATCAGCTGGGAAACAAGTAATATCAGTCTAAATATTAACAAATACCAAGTTATTTTTGCAATCATATAGATAAGAATTAATAACTTCAGCAGCAGTACCTCAGTCCTCAGCTGTACTTCTTGGGTACACATACTTTCTCACTCTTTTGCTTTTCATCCTGGTTTAGCAGTAAAACAGCATCTTGTTTCAAYTTGGATGCTCTATGGGCATTACCAGGTCCTTTATTCTTACACTACAATGAGATGTGGTTTTCCCCTGAAAGCTTTTAGTTAATGCTGCAAAGCTTTCTGTTATTGCTAAGCATTTTAGCAACACAAAAACAATGAAGAGGAAAATAGGCATAATTAAATGTCTTCTGCCATCTTGGATTGATTTACAGTTAACATTTGGCTGAGCAGTGTTCAGAGTAAAGTCTCTCCCAGCCTACATACAGTTGTAGAGAAAAGAAAGAGGGAGCAGGAGGTCGGAAGGCTCAACTCCTCCTGAGTGCTGTGGCTGGCAGTGCTGTGGGACTGCCTGTGTTGYTGGAGTAACCGTGTCCTCCTTGGGAAAATCCTGCTGCTTGCSTTGGCAAGAAGTTCCACTCCCTTGGTTCATGTCCCTGGAACAGCAGTGAAACCAGTGACAGAAGGATTTCACCGGTGCCTGGCTCTGTCACACTGAAATCTCGCCTTTTCTTTGTTCGTGGTGACCCCTGTCACTCCTTGGGACTGCTTGGGGAGGGTTTTTGTGGGACAGTGAGAGCCTTATTCCCCCTGCATAYTAATTCTGGGACAGAGACTTGCTCTGATCTGAGCAGGACTGGCTTCTCTTCAGCTGCCTGTGAACAGGCCAGGGAAAGGGAAGAGTTTCAAAAGAATGTAATTTATATTGCTGCTCCCTAGCTGGCATTTAATACAGATGGGACACACAGTCGATTCCTTTGGGGATTAACCAGCAGCCGGGCACTTCCCTTGGAGCTATTCCAGCCCTCCTCTCTCTGGGAAGCACAGAGGGGACAGATGTGCTGGAAGTGTGGGGGTCACTTAAAACTCTCCCTCTTAAATGCTGAAAGTCAGTATCTGGATTAATGGGATTGCCATGAAGATGGGTACAAAGATTCCCTGCAGGCTCCCATGCCCGGGGTGCAGCATTCCAGCCCTACACTGGGCAGGGATCTGGTCCTAGGGAAGGACACACGGCCCTGCCTGGGCTTGGAGCAGCTCAGGTTTGGCGCTGCCACACAATAAACCTCAGTGATTTCACACTGTGACCTGGTTTTGCAGGAGAGCTTAATAATCACGTTTGCATTTCTGTCTTCTCTTAAATTAGAGTTGATTTTACTTTTCTTATGATGGCAATTTTACTGTAAGGGTTGATTTCTCTTCTACTGTGTGTGGAATGGAACACTGAGGTGGCTGTACAGGAATCAAAATTACTCCTGTAATTGCAGCACAGTGAATAAGTATGTGCAAGAGCATAATCTTGTAAAAGCTGATTACCTCAGTTATTATTAATTAGGATTTATGAGTTAAGTAATGTGCTGCAACTATATCCAATTCCGTGGTAATTTCATGTGGAAAGTTGAGAGAGAATTTTAGAATTAATCCATTGTGAAGTCCCAAGTGACAACCAAACCAGCATCTTATGTTATGCCTGTGGCTTCTCCCTTCACCTCTGACTGATTGAACCTGGAGTGSCAATTTGCCGTCTTGTCTCATTTGTGGGACGTACAAATGCGTCCATTTTAATATCTTTGTGCTTTGCTTAATTTGATTCTCAACAAGATTTTTTGTTTTCCTSAGTTCTCCTGTCAGAAGAATTAATAATACATCTGAGATTTAAGTGCATGTACATGGGGGCTGGCTGGTCCTTACCTTTTCCTCTATATTTTTTGTTGATGGTTAAACAGACTCAGTATAAATTAAAATTTTCAGCTATTTAAAAAGATAATCAAACACTTTTAATCTGATTCTGGGT